TCCTTATCTTGGAAGGATTGTCGCTCCCATTTAAGAAACTGGTGACCGATTACTTCCTGCCAGCATCAGGCCTATAAGCCTCACTACCAATCCTTGGAAGGTTTGTTGCGGATCTCGATACAGAACTTTGAGTGACGCGTAGATTCGCAATCCCAACCATAAAAAGCAAGAATTGGCTTGGTATTTCTACGTTTATATTTACGCGAGGGTTAGTAAAGGTGTACAGCAATCCTCAATTTTTCACGTTCGTATCGTCAACAAGTTCACAGGTCAGTCATTAACCGACACAGTGCAGTTTCAACGTCCGCATACCAAAACTTTGCGGGCGGAATGATGGGTCAGTAGCGTTGGTTGCGGTCCTTCCTTCCGACGACGGTCTCGTTCTTCTCTTTGGACTTGCGATCACACGGAACCCATGAGAAAACAAGTCGATGGAGGCTCAGAAAACGAAACATAAACGCACATAGGGAAGTAGGTCAGCGGCGCACATTCGCACACAGGAATACAGGTCAAAACACAAGTGTCCAAAAGGACGGCCTCTGCGGCAAGGTGAGTGGCGGGCACGAATAAGCGAAACAAGTGGAGATCCAAAGCCGGAGTAAGCAAATGAATAGTGCAATCATCAAAATGTCAAGTTCGATTCAACAAGGTGGCAGAACGTATTTTGAAGCGAACTATCCTAGACCACCTTACTTCCAGCAACCTGATATCTCAAGCTCAACACGGATTTCTCCCAAATCATTCCTGGTTTTGAGAAACATGCTTGTGTTTGTGGACAGCTCAACCCACGCCAAGGACGAAGGACTCATTTCGGATGCCACAAGTGTCGACTTCTCTAAAGCATTACATAGGGTCCCACAGGTCCCGCTGCTCCACAAACTCGAGTCTTACGGGATTCAAGGGAAAATCATTCGCTGGATCAATGTGTTTCTATCAAACAGATCATTCCGAGTAAGAACAGGCTCGACCTACTCTTCTCCAGCGCCGGTCTCCACTGGAGTTCCTCAAGGCTGTCTCCGGGATTCGCTGCTGTTTCAGACCTACGTCAGTGACGTTTCAGATGTTCTTGCAAGTCCATGTTTGCTTTTTGCGGATGACTAGAAATCCTGGAGTTCCAATGCCAGTGCCCTCCAAATGGATGTAGAACCTGCCAAGCAGTGGTCGTTGAACTGGCACCTTCCTCTGAATGACGAAAGGCATTCGCCATTTTATGGATGGTTCAACGCATCTTCTCTCGTATTTTTTGATGCACTGTGGGTCCCAGTATCGCTGCGCGGGTTCGATTCTCTTCTCCTTATCTTGGAAGGATTGTCGCTCCCATTTAAGAAACTGGTGACCGATTACTTCCTGCCAGCATCAGGCCTATAAGCCTCACTACCAATCCTTGGAAGGTTTGTTGCGGATCTCGATACAGAACTTTGAGTGACGCGTAGATTCGCAATCCCAACCATAAAAAGCAAGAATTGGCTTGGTATTTCTACGTTTATATTTACGCGAGGGTTAGTAAAGGGGTACAGCAATCCTCAATTTTTCACGTTCGTATCGTCAACAAGTTCACAGGTCAGTCATTAACCGACACAGTGCAGTTTCAACGTCCGCATACCAAAACTTTGCGGGCGGAATGATGGGTCAGTAGCGTTGGTTGCGGTCCTTCCTTCCGACGACGGTCTCGTTCTTCTCTTTGGACTTGCGATCACACGGAACCCATGAGAAAACAAGTCGATGGAGGCTCAGAAAACGAAACATAAACGCACATAGGGAAGTAGGTCAGCGGCGCACATTCGCACACAGGAATACAGGTCAAAACACAAGTGTCCAAAAGGACGGCCTCTGCGGCAAGGTGAGTGGCGGGCACGAATAAGCGAAACAAGTGGAGATCCAAAGCCGGAGTAAGCAAATGAATAGTGCAATCATCAAAATGTCAAGTTCGATTCAACAAGGTGGCAGAACGTATTTTGAAGCGAACTATCCTAGACCACCTTACTTCCAGCAACCTGATATCTCAAGCTCAACACGGATTTCTCCCAAATCATTCCTGGTTTTGAGAAACATGCTTGTGTTTGTGGACAGCTCAACCCACGCCAAGGACGAAGGACTCATTTCGGATGCCACAAGTGTCGACTTCTCTAAAGCATTACATAGGGTCCCACAGGTCCCGCTGCTCCACAAACTCGAGTCTTACGGGATTCAAGGGAAAATGTTCGCTGGATCAATGTGTTTCTATCAAACAGATCATTCCGAGTAAGAACAGGCTCGACCTACTCTTCTCCAGCGCCGGTCTCCACTGGAGTTCCTCAAGGCTGTCTCCGGGATTCGCTGCTGTTTCAGACCTACGTCAGTGACGTTTCAGATGTTCTTGCAAGTCCATGTTTGCTTTTTGCGGATGACTAGAAATCCTGGAGTTCCAATGCCAGTGCCCTCCAAATGGATGTAGAACCTGCCAAGCAGTGGTCGTTGAACTGGCACCTTCCTCTGAATGACGAAAGGCATTCGCCATTTTATGGATGGTTCAACGCATCTTCTCTCGTATTTTTTGCATTGAATTCCAATTACTCTATGGGGCCTACGTCAGACCGCTCCTGGAGTACCCCCAACCAAGTTTTCTACTCGGAACGCACGAAAGGCGTTAGCCTCATTAAGCATGTCAAATTAGCCTCCTTGAGAATGGTTGCCGGCCTCAAATTCGTGGACCACGAATCGCGTTTCACAATGCTTGCTCACTTCTCCTCGCCTGAGAGGGGACCTAATTCTTACCTATGCCCTGTTTAAACAAAACTTGGCCAACAGGTTCTTCACCGTTGACTCGGCAAACAAACGGCTGAGACAATGTAAGAAGATTTTCAAGCTCAGTGGATACAAATTCATTGAACAAATGTTTCTCTCACTCCGTGTAGTAGCTGCGTCGAAAAACCCTCCGCGCTGGCGAGCGCACTACCCCGCGCTGAGAAGACAAGAGCTATGCTACACCTTTCTTTCACTTATAAATTTCAGGTGAACGAGCGCATCTGAACGACGAGAGCGAAACCGACCCGGTAAACCTGGGCAAAAGCCTCGATCTTGTGTATCAATCAGTGAATCCGCGAATTAGGATTTGTGTGATGTTAGGATTTGTGAGTTGTGAGCAAAAACAAAACGAGGGAATGCAAACCAGTTTCTTTCATGGTTGTTATGTGATATGAAAAGTATGAACGCCGGAACATGAGGAACCAGAACATCATATCTGCAGGAGCACAAGATTTGGCGACATCCAATCGGTCAAACTGGATTGATAGCTAAAACGAGCGCAATGACCTGGGGGTCTTGGACTTTTAAACTTATGCCTAGGTTTGCCTAAAATGTACGTTTGAATGAGGAAGTGGCGGGGTTAATGGAGCTGATAAACGGTAACGGGCATTTCAGAAACGTGGTGAACACCGAAACTATAAATACTCACTGGCGGTGCTGTTGCAGTTTTGGGCATAATAGTTTCTTAGAATAGAGAGATGGCGGAGCACGCGACCGGGAACATGAAATGTATACAAAATTACTGATTTTTCTGAACGCCAGAAAGAATGTCCAGCGAATTTGTTAAGGTTGAATGCCATGTTCAACAGTTTTGAATGCGTGTATCGTCGAGGTAACCAGGGCTAGATAGGGAGCTTGTTGGCATGCTCAGTTAACGAGTCGCCGAGGGTGTACAGTCGAGAATAAAAACGAAATAAATGCGAGTGTGCGAGAAAACTGTGTACGGCATTGCTGTGACAAGAATGGCTTGACATCCTTCGGTTTTCGGACAGTCACTTATTGCACGTCATATTTAAGGTCGTTGGGCTGCGATATCCCATCCTCCGACCAGCGCACATCTTTCAGGCTTGCCAAGGAACACAAGGTAGAAGAAGGCCGCAGGTCCTTTCGGTGCGGTCGTCCGCACACGACATTTCTAAAGTCCACGGCTTAGGAAGGCGAGAAAATTGGATGAAATTATCAAATCTTTGTAGTTTCGCAAGACCTGAGGTGGGATAAATATGCAGAGACTTGACGCTATCAAGGTGTTACAGCAAGTGATTATATAATATGAGATAGGGAGAGATCTGTAATTATTATACTAGGAAGGAAGCAAGTGTTGTGTTTGTCATTGTACGAAATTAAAACTTTGCAGCTAATGCAGAGGGGATGTACGGTTCGTATGAGGACAAAAGAGGGCGGATATTCGAACGGATACGCTAGTTCATTTCGTATTTGCAATTGGGTTGGGCGGTAATATGGCTTAGAGAAGTGTGAGAAGAATAGTCACCAGTTTCGAAGCATTACTACCAGCTTTAGGCTAAGAAGTTGCAAATGACGAATAAATAGTTTTGCATGCTGGCATTCGATGGTCAGGAACTCTCGTATAAATATATTTCTGATTGCACAGATTCACATGTAGGAGTATTGGGTAGGTGCATGTTCTGTTTGGTTGACTGAGTGAGCTTCCCTGCGGATGAACATCAGTTATTACAGGGGTGTCTACATCTTCATACGTCGATTTAAGCTATTGGCTCCAAAGCGTATTGAGGCTACATCATCATTGGGTTTACGAATTCCTTTTTCTACTAAACAGACTAGGGCGTAGTTGCACCTTTGTTCATCTTCTGTGGCCATGCCAGTTAAGCCAGACAACGCTGGAACTCCAGCCCAGGGCAAAATAGAAAAGAACACTGACCTTTTATTGATTTTCAAAATCAAAGGTAGGGCTCGGAACCAATAGCGACGCACCACATTGAACTGCAATTGAATGACCCTCCTGAGAAACCTGACAACTAAAAGACTATATTTCTCTCCTTGCGTGATACCAAAGCGGCGTAGTACCAAGCAGCTTAAACTGCGGCCTGCGAATGAACAAAACCCCCCTGCTAAACGAAATCAAATGCGTTCTTTGATTCGTCGGCCAGCAAAAGAATTCACTCATTTTGAACACGAAATCGGCAAAAGCCGATGAGAAATTAGGTCGGGAAGTGGGCGAAAAAATGAGGAGGGAAAGAATGCAGACGACGAGAGCGGTAAGGATTGGTGGCTCCAACCCGGGCAGCACCGTTTCTTTTTCCGGTTCGGTGGAGACCTGTGACAGAAACAGGGAACCACAGAGTAACCAAACAGAGGCAGCCGATGTCAACAGCGTACATTATACAGGTCTATTTTCGGCCTACGCGTCTTTGTCTTCTCCAACTCAGTCCAAGTGTAGCGACGGAGGCTTTCAACCGACGTGGTTTTTACGATAAAGGACATTCAAAACATCTTGCACAAGATTAACGCATTCCGCGCGTTGAGGCCGGACCAGGTGCATCCAGGGATCTTGGAAAAAACGTCATCTACGTTTCAAAAATCATTGATACCTTTGGTTTGGTCAGTTGACTGATAGAGACCCTTTTTCCGTTAGGAAAGTAGCGATTGTCCCACCCATCTGCAAAGCGGATGACCGAATAGCATATGAGCTACAGACCGTACGAGGTGATGGAATGCACTCTGACGCAAGCTACCATAAATCACTTTATTCCCAACAACTTGATATGTCCGACCCAATTATTATTTCTCCGGAACCGTACTTCCGTCCCCAACATGCACGTGTTTGTAGACAGGTTAATCCACTCCGAAATAAACGACTGCTATCGAGCGCCCCACCGCGATGTATATAAAATCCATCTCCATTGTTACTTGCAGCGTCCAATATATGGAATACAAATGTCCTTGTACATGCCATGCGATGAGTAGTGTTCCAGGCCTTCCGGCGTTCGTGGTGAAGGATCGGACGGGTATATAGTGAAGTTTGTAGGGCATTGCGATTGGAAAAACTTGTATGTGGGTTGTCATTTATCTTGATCATTAGTGCAGCCTATTATGAAGTTTGATTCAAAGCATAAAATATTACAATAATGTGACCAGTTACTAACCGTACTTCCGTCCCCAACATGCACGTGTTTGTAGACAGGTTAATCCACTCCGAAATAAACGACTGCTATCGAGCGCCCCACCGCGATGTATATAAAATCCAACTCCATTGTTACTTGCAGCGTCCAATATATGGAATACAAATGTCCTTGTACATGCCATGCGATGAGTAGTGTTCCAGGCCTTCCGGCGTTCGTGGTGAAGGATCGGACGGGTATATAGTGAAGTTTGTAGGGCATTGCGATTGGAAAAACTTGTATGTGGGTTGTCATTTATCTTGATCATTAGTGCAGCCTATTATGAAGTTTGATTCAAAGCATAAAATATTACAATAATGTGAATAGCCAGTTACTATTGCGCTAGGTGATACAGATGTTTGGCCCAGTTTTCAGCAGGTGCAACAATTGTGCGCTTTAGCGGTTGATAAATCATCTTTTCAAGCAGCGATACTTTATTGCGATAGCTGGTAGGTATATGGAAATCAAGGATAGAACAAAATGATCCGGTGCATTGCAAATTGCTTTTCATAGTTCATTCTTTGGTTCTGTGGAGTTTTGTTGATGATCGTTTAATTGATCCTCTGGTAATCGCTTTCCGTGTATCACGAATGACTCGAAGTGATCGGGTCTTAAAATCAGATATCAAGAAGCGTTGATGGAGAACGAATAATTCATCGAACTCCTCAATTTGGTGAAGATTCCACGATGAAAATTCGATAAAAGGACGTGTTCTGATCATTGATCTCTTTGTGTAGTTGACGATTGTTTCTAATTGTTAATGCGTAATTTGGAGGCGCAACGAATTCCACTTTGCCACATTCTTGATCCTAAACAACGAGCAGATTTCCGTTTCCCCAACACTGAAAATATCGTATGATCTTAAAGAAGATTAGCCCATGGTTGACCGTTTAGCGGCCTGAGAGGCATCATCTGGTTCTGCTGTAATCGTGGATTGTGCGCAATAATTCTATATCGCCGAGCTTCGTAATTGTATCTCAACAGGTA